TAGGCTGTTTGTTATATATCTTCTTTGTCTTTGGTTTTCATCTGTTTTATAGTGTGTTTTACTGGATTTCTTTGTCTTTATCTCATGAAATGTTGCCGGTGACTTTTGAATCTGTCACTTGTCATTGCTTCATTAGGTTTGGAATTTCTCAGCCAAAAACTTTTTTATTATTCTCCATGGAAAATGTAAAACCCTTGTTAAACTCCATTTTCTGGATCACCATTGGTCTCTTTCTACATTGATGGCAATCTTTTCTTTTTTTGTTTTAAAAAATAATGTGCTTTTCTCTCTATGTATTATTATGTTTTATAGAATGTAATACATTGTGTGTGAAATGCACACAGACAATTTGAGGTTTAGTGTATTATTGCCTTTCTTCAGGATGGTTTATGTTTATTTTTGCTAGGGAGCATGGTCACCTGAAATTCTACATTCCCTTAATACAGTTAAGAAGTGGTTTCTCTCTTGTTTTTTTCTGTAGTCTGAGCAGAGTGATTATAGTTAATAATATATTGTATACTTGAAGTTTGCAGAGATAGTAGATCATAAATGTTCTCATCATATATACACACAAGTGGTAAATATGTGAGGTGATCTATGTGTTGACTAAGTTAATTTTTTATTATGTTATTATTACACAGTATATACTTATATCAAATTATCCTGTCATACACTTAAAATATACACAATATTATTTGTCTATTATATCTCAGTAAAGCTGAAGAAGAAAAGAATTGGCTTCTTCTGAGATCTCTACAAAGGTGATTCCTGTTTCAGTTTACTACTAATTTTTAAAAACTTTCTCCTGATATTAACATGTAAGACATTAATGAAGACAAATGAAGATTTTCATGTAAAGCATATAAACTGCCTCCTCTGTCCCTTTCCCCTACCCCAGAGAACCACTGATGTTTTTACTATCACCATAGTTTTGCCTTTTCCAGAATGTCGTACAGTTGGAATCATATAGTATGCAGTTTTTACAGATTATCTTCTTTCATGTACTAATATGCATTTAAGATTCTTCCATGTCTTCTTGTGTCTAATTAGCTCATTTCTTCTAAATGCTATATAATATTTCATTTGTCTAAATGTATCACAGGTTATTCATTCACCTACTGAGAGATAATTTGGTTCCTGTATCTGTGAGGGTTAGACACTTTGTATAAACCAGGTAAAAATCTGCTGTTCAAATTATGTCACTGCATATAGACAAAAAATAATCAGTGAGGCCCGAGGTCCTATGATATTGAAGCCCAGAGACATAATGTAGAAGTTACAGAAACTGACAGCAGAGAAAACTAAAAAAGGAGAAAGACACACTGATAGAGCAAATATGTTTGGCATAGTCCCATGTTAGAGAAGGTATAGAAACTCTTTGAGAAGAAGGTTTACATTTTTTAAAAAACTGAGCTGGGTTTATTTGATTCACCTACTGAGAGATAATTTGGTTCCTGTATCTGTGAGGGTTAGACACTTTGTATAAACCAGGTAAAAATCTGCTGTTCAAATTATGTCACTGCATATAGACAAAAAATAATCAGTGAGGCCCGAGGTCCTATGATATTGAAGCCCAGAGACATAATGTAGAAGTTATAGAAACTGACAGCAGAGAAAACTAAAAAAGGAGAAAGACACACTGATAGAGCAAATATGTTTGGCATAGTCCCATGTTAGAGAAGGTATAGAAACTCTTTGAGAAGAAGGTTTACATTTTTTAAAAAACTGAGCTGGGTTTATTTGAACATACATTGAAAACAACAAGGGAACAAAAAAAATTAATTAGATGTAGAAAAAGAAATGATATAAAGATTTTTTTGGTGATGTTCAAACAGAAATTACTCCAAATGTGGATAATGAAAACTTGAGGGAAGTCTGATATGATGGTGAGAAAATACTGACAGCTGTTTTTCTTCCTGAGCAAATGATGAAACTCTCACAAAAGTAAAAAGTGTGAAGCTTGAAGATATAATAATGTAAAATAAACAAAGATGTCTGGAATGACCCAAGGTGGTTATGAGCTGGTTTGTATCATCTTGGAGAAGAGAAAAATATGCAAAAATGATTTAGTGATAGAAAATATAAAAATTAACCAAACTGAAAGAAAATTGAAAAAAGCACACCAATATATCAATAGAGAGATGTGGAGAAGCATAACATATTCTATTATCTCTCTCTCATCTATCCATCTATAATCTGCAGTAAGATACACCAAGCATTTAAAAAGGGAGTAATGTAAAGGTGTGCATTTTGGGAAATTTCTATATTTGTAAGCACATAGTCTAATTTTTACTAAAATTTTAGGCAACATTTGTAAATTTACAACAAATAAACCAAGTGAATGGAGAGGTAGAGATGGGTCATTATTTTCAATCTTCTGTACCTGATTATTATTGTTGTGCAGCTTTTTATCTTTGAAAATCCATAATTAATTTTCCCCTAAAGTTAGTCAGTGTATAGATTCTTTAATAACTTTTGAACCAGGGTCACCAAGAAATCTTATTCATGTAGTTGATCCTTATGCATTAAAGGGATATTTAGGTATTTAGTGAAGTGTCAATTTTGTTATAATAAATTCTGTTTCTATGCCTAAAGAAATAAAAATACTTCTTTTGACTCTCTTTCCTTAGCTATGATATACTTTTGTCTTCAGAAATCTATAATATGAAAGAATTCTGTAGGTTTTCAGTGAAAGTATTTTTGGTGATAAGACTATTGTATGATGCAACAGGTGGAGACAAAGAGAGAGAGAGTTTCTTTGAAGCATGTGTGTGAGTATGTATGAGAGCTTGGCCAGGAGATCATGGTGTATCTAATTTTTTTATATCTCCTTGTCTGTCTTAAATCTACCTGTATGCCACACTTCAGCTAAACTATTACTACACATGAAAGTGAAAAATCTTTTAGCTTCAAATAACAATATCTTTCAGAATTTTGTGTGTAGACAAGGCTTCATGTAAACCAGCATAATTGGAGAGTTAGACCAAATGATTCCATAACTGTGCCTAAAACAAATCACTTTAATTAGATTTTAAAACAATCATGTACATCTCAACTGAACATAACATTGTATGTTATTTAAACATGTTTAGGAAGCTCTGCTATTATATCAGTATTTTAAACAAAGTATTGAAGAACTACAAATTAAAATTGTGGAATATAAGTAACTGAATTATAATAATCTTTGAAAAATACATAAAAAAATGGAAGATGATCTAAAACCTATGTTATGCCATATATGCTAGTGTTTTGGCTTTAGTTTATGTTGAAATGCACACCTGGGGCATATAGAACTTTGGTAATTGGAAATCAATTTTTTTCAGGGAAGATTGATGTTATATTCAAGAAATATAGGAATTGGTGGGCTGAGCAAATGGAATTTCCCATTAAAGTACACAGCAACTAAATTCCCTATTTGTTTTAAAACACTGATGTGGCTCTAACTTAAGTTTTTAGTGTGAGATCCAGATGGAGAAAATAGACAGATATCCCATATCTTCATCCTTTCAAAATTTGTTTTGAAGTACATTCAGAAACAAAAGGGTAATTGCAGGTGGATGGGCTAATTAAATTCTTTCAGCTAGCCAACAATTTTAAGAGTTACTCCCTGGAGATGCCTGAGTAGATGATGAAAAGTTAGCTGCATAACATCTCTCTCATCGTTTCTTCAATTATTTAAAATAATAAAAATGGAAGAGGAAATTCCATAAGAGGTGGAGAGATGTCTGTGAAAGGCTAGATGGTAAACATTTTCAGTTTTTTGGGCCATGACGTCTCTGCCACTTAAAAGCAGCCATAGATAGTATGCAAATGAATGGAATGGACATGTTCCAATAAAACGTTATTTGCAAGAACCAGTTGTGGATGGAATTTACATTTAGGCCTTAGTTTTCTGACTCTTGCTCTAGAATGTTGTCCTTACTCCTAAATGACTCCTAAGTGGCTTTTGCAGTGGGAAAAGCCTGTGGTTTGAGGAGATATTAACAAGGTCCTTCACTTTGACTGGGCCCAGACTCCAAGGCCACAGACTGCTTGGCTTCTAGAATCTCTGTTGAACTTTCAGCCTTTCTGCTCAGATCCCAGCTCAGTGTATTCCTGACCTGAGGGTACTAAGCACTTCAGCTGACCTGATCTTTGTCAAGTAAACTCAGAAAGACAATCATGTTGAGGTTAGTCTAGCTCATAGTGTGGCTGGGCTAGCACTACTTGTGGAGTCATTTACTGCATTTCCCTTACTTACAGTAATACAGTTGTGAGCTGCTTGTTATCAAGTTTCCTCACATAACTGATTCTGTTTTACGATTATTTAAGGCAGAAGACATGGCTCATACAAGTTGCTTTGGCAGAGCTGGAAGCAAATTCCTCTTCTTATTTTTAAGACTGTTTGATTTCTTTGTATGTGTGCATGTCTGTATGAGTGCTTGCATGCTAATATCAGGAAGCTGTGGTTTTTTTCTCCTCTTTCTTGAAGTAAATCTTCTAAATATTCTAGCTTGCTTATATATTTTGTATATCATATTTTTTTTCCAATTCCTTGTATTTATTTTCTTACTTTGGTTGTAATATGTTTGATTTTAATTGATATGCCTATTTGGAGCTCTTTCTTAAATTTTGTCTTCTTAATATCTTAAAACAACAATGAAATATTTCTTCCTATTTTATTCAGCACATGTGAATTAAAGGAGTTTCACAAAACTAGTGCTCTAACAATTTCCCAAAAATCATAGAGCTATATTTAACATTAAAATTTTCTTTCAGAGTAATATTAGAAATGCTTAGTGAGAGATTAAGGAGGATTTTATTTTCTGGAACGTATTCATTTAATGATAGAGGAAATTTTCATTGATATTAAAGAGAGCAAGAAACTCTAAGTAGGTTCACAGATCAGGCTATGAAGGATTAAATGAAGGTTAACCTGACTGAACTAGTTAGGCCTTTGAGAAAAAATGTTAAGGAACAAATCTATCATTTTCATTTGATTTTTCAAAGTCAGTGTGCTCTTACTTGTGTGAGATAAATGCAATTTTCTTGATTGTGTCACTGAAAGCTTGTTTCACTTGCTTATTCCTCAAAGTATAAATGAAGGGGTTCAACAAAGGGGCAACAGATGTAGTGAGCAGGGATACCCCTTTATTGATGTCTATCTCTTCTTTGGCTGAAGGCTTGATGTAGATGAAAATACAGCTTCCATAGGTGATGGAAACAACAATCATGTGAGATGAACAGGTAGAAAAAGCTTTCTTCCTTTGTGACTCAGAAGGGAATCTTAGAATTGTCCTGATGATGTATATGTATGAAAGAACAACGCCTATTAGTGTAATGATGAACGTCAGTACTGCACAGATTATAACGACCTGTTCTATGAACCATGTATCTGAGCATGAAATCTTAAAAAGAGGAGACGCATCACAGCCAAAATGGTCAATGATATTAGAGTCACAGAATTCCAGCCGGAGACCCATACCTAGCGGTGTGATGATGATCATCAACCCAGAGACCCAGCAGCAGAGGACAAGGATGGTACAGACTCTGCTGTTCATGATGCTCATGTAATGCAGGGGCTTACAGATGGCCACGTAGCGGTCATAGGACATGGCTGCCAGGAGAAAAAATTCTGTGGCCCCAAAAAGTCCAAAAAAAAATATTTGACTCGCACAAGCATTGTAAGTAATGGTATTGTCCCCAGTTGACATGCTGTACAGGAATCTAGGAATACAGACTGTTGTGAATGAGATTTCTAATATGGAGAAATTTCGAAGAAAAAAATACATAGGTGTTTTCAGATGAGAATCCAAGAGTGTAAGAATGATAATGGTCAGATTTCCAGTAATGCTCAGCATGTAGGTGAGAAAGAGGAAGATAAAGATCAGAACTTGCACCTGTGGGTCCTCTGTAAGTCCCAACAAGATGAATGTTGTTATTACTGAGTGATTTCTCATTATTGCCTTGATGTTTTAGGTCATCTGCATGTATAAAGTCGTAAGGTAAGTATCTGAAGAGAAAAAGGGAAACGATGACACAAAACATTTTGAAACAGAAAATGGAAAAACAAGATTAATAGAAGCACAAGCTGATACTTAGAAAGGATGAATAACATGAATACAAGTGCTGTATAATTATCTGAAAAAAAAGAGGAAAGATGGAGTTTGTCAGGAAAGAAAAATATGACATAATTTCAGACAATACAGACATTAAATAGATGAACATGAAATATTTTGAAAAGCTCTGCAAAGTAGATTTGGAAACTTAGACAAAATGAACTGATTCTTTGACAGATATAATCTACCAGGGTTAATTCAAGATGAGATATCTAATCTATGTAGCCCTATACATTGTAAAGTGAAAAAATACATACTCAAATCATCCTACAAAGAGAACTCCAGGACCATATACCTAAATTTTAGTTTTCTACAAAACATTTAAAAACAAATCAAAACACCAATTCTACACAAATTCTTTCATAAAACTGATTCTTAAAGACAAAAACTATAGCTATCTGAGTTTCCAATTTATATATAGACATAATATAAATGATAACCACAATAAAAAAAGAAAGGCAAAGGCTTCTCTGTAGTGGTAAATTTTCTGTATTCTACCTCCAGTAGTAAAATACTGATTCTAAATTTCCAGCGTTGTCTATTATAATTCATAGAATACACACATACTTTTAAGAAAATAGTAAAAAGTATACTATATTAAAAAGGAGCCCTGAAACTGTTCAGTTGAGAAAGGAGTAGGAATTTCCATTCCATATGTTTCTACCCTCCTTCAGATTACTTCATCTTACACTTGATGTGAAACATTCATGCTCTAACTGGAATTCCTCTCTCCTTTTTTCATCACTTTAGTCCATCAAGTAACAAAATGATAGAAGTTCAATCATAAATAATTACATTTCACATAAATGATCATAACATACCAAACTAATTAAAACATAGAGATTATAAGAATGGGCTAAAAAAAATTTTCCCACCTAGATGCTGTATGCAAGCCTCCCACTTCAAATATAATGACATAGATAGGTTAAAAGTAAAAAAACAGAAAAATAAGTACCATGCACACCACAGTCAAGAGAATGCTCGAGTGACTATATTACTATTGCCACCAAAGAAAAGTAACAACCTTCCAGAAGGAAATGACATACTGATAACCGAGATGATTCTCTAAGCAAACATAAAGGTTCTAATTTGTTATGTTTCTAAGAGTGCATCAAAATACATGAAGAACAAACTGATGCAAATGAAAGAAGAAATAGGTTAATTAGCAATTATAGTTAGCAATTTCTCTTATTAACCTACTATCACTGTTTTCTTCATTCTTCTTCAATTAATTATCACCACTCTTCTTCTAGAAGGCTTCCTTTGATGCTATTGCCCACATCTAGATAATGGCCTATCTGTTTAGACTCTACATCCTCAACATGTTATAAAAAAGTCTGTATTTTCCATTCCATATGCTTCTACCCTCCTTCAGATTACCTTCATCTTACACTTGATGTGAAACCTTCATGCTCTAACTGGAATTCCTCTCTCCTTTTTTCATCACTTTAGTCCATTTTTCCTCATTGCATCTAGAATAAGTCCTGAGACACCACCTCAGTTTCTCCAGACTAGGCGAGGTACATCTTCCATGTTCCTATATCCATCATCCCTATATCAGGGCTGTATTATATTGTGTATTTATTGTTTGTCACCTAATTGAACTATGATAGTTTCCAGGGCCTGTTTTATTCTCAATCTCTTATATTCAATCTGAATATAAGATCTCATACTGAGATCTATCACATTTCCTGGGATATAATAGTTTTTCAATATATTAATTAAACACAGATATTTCTGAACAAAGGCCAGGATATAACCTTGATTTATATGTCAGGATTTTATTTGACAGAATTTCTTTACTCCTGAGGTTCATGTAGAAGATGCTACACTACTGAAGTTACTTCCTTCAGTACAAGAGTTAGTATCTCGCTTCCCTGATGCTTTAGGATAAGTTTTGAGTAGCAGAAGACAGTCACTCAAGCTGGGGATTTTATCAGCTGTACTGGTCACATGCCACAAGACTTCTCATTTATTCTGCTGTATATTTACCAATTTAAAAAAATAGAGGTCATAAAAAGTAAGTATAAAGTACTGAAGTCTTTAAAAAACATTCTAGATGTGAGCTAATGATAATTTTCCATTGTGTTATGTTTAACTAAGCTTTCTCTATCAAGGCCCTTCATTGTGTTGGAATATTCTCTTTGATTTTACTGATAATATATAGGGCAAAGTACTTAGACTTTAATCCAGTTATTCTTGAAGGGGTGCTATCAGGTGGCTATTTTCAACCAAGGCTTGCCTCTGGGTTCCTTTTTTGACAAAATGGTCTCAGATGGAACCTACGTAACACAAAAGGCAGCATTCAAAGTTTCTAGACACTACCAGAGAGTGAAAACACAGATACAGGCTCCTGGGCAAAACCTTTTGTCTAAATGCTGTTATCCTATCTTGTTCTGCAGATCTACCCTTGAAATATCTGCAGTAGCTCAGATGAGAAACATTGGATTGTTGTTCACCAGAGACCACCTTCCTTGGTACCTATAGTTACTTTCTCTTCATTCCCTATTATAACCTCTAGAAAAAGTCTCTGCCGATTCTGGGTACTATGCCAGGATGTAAATGAACCCTTTTGTATTCCAGTTGTCTAGTTATCCAGAATCATGTCTCTCATACATTTTGAAAAATTATATTGCACATGTAACTTACTGATTTTTGTATATGGTTGAAAGGCAATATTTTTCAAGGTGAAATGTCAAATCAAGTTTCATTAAGTTGAAGAGATGCATTTATATAATAGAGATTGTGTGTTTGTGTGTATGTGAGAGTGTGTGAGTGTGTGCATGTACTTGTGTTTTGGCAATGGGCAATAGATCTTAATATTTCATGATCATGAAATTTCTCTATTGTATTGTCCACATACTTAACCAATTCATAAAGTTGGCTTAGAAATTTCCTCATTTGCTCCCATGATTAATATTTTTGAAACAGAAGTGACATTCAAAAAAGTGAGATGATTTTCTTTTATCCTTATAAAAGATCCAAATTCTAAAAAATACACCCACACATATTATGTGTTTCTTTTTATATAAATCTGTGTTTATGTATAATACATATACATAAACAGACATGTATAGGGAAGTGAAGTGATAGGAAATATTTTAAATATTTTTCCAAATTTTAGATTAGAAAAAATTGATTTAAGAAATCTGGACATACTTACTCTTCAGTTGCTTTTGTCATTCAGGCTTCAGTTTTTGTCTTATCTACACAGATACTTAGTGGAACTCATAACTAAGCAGGAATTATTAATTGTGACATGAATATGATCTAGTCATACTTTCTCAACTTTCACTTGAGGTTGCAGTGGAAATGCATGCACAGATGTGTCAGTTTTTGCATCCCTAGGTCTAACATTCATCATGAATTACAATGAGTCTAAATTGAAAAAAACTATTTCTGCATAATATGAATAGCTAGATAGAGGGAAATACTAGTAATCAGGCAAAAGCAAACCAGAAAATCTCTGGTTCTGAAACATTGATGATCTGACCTAATTTTTTCACAGAGTGGCCCCCTTAGAGTTTCACCACAGATATGATCGAGGATGGTTTATATGGGCAACCTGTAATAGACCAAATAGGTTTAAAAAAAATGTCCTTGGTGACCCTGCATAAAATTCACTAGTGAATGTAAAATATAATGAACATAGAAAAATAAAAGCAAGTGAAAGCTAACTAATGCACCTGGGAGTTAGGAGAATATCCTTGGAGACTGGAAGATGAGTTAATAGCACAAAGGTCAAGATGTACCATCAGTGTACTAAATCTTTGCCAAAATGATCCAAATGATGATTCTTTTGTCTACTCTAATTCATATTTTTTATTTAATACATAGCAATTTTTCAAATGTGTACTGATAATTTATGCTTTATTTATGAGCAGAATATTACTACCCTTTCATTGTTTTTGAGTCAAAGTGATTCCTCACCCTTTTCTTAGGTATTTACATATATTCAGAATAGTAAGTCTTTGTAAGTGTCATATGTTACAAAACTTATTTAATGTCTTCTTCCCAATATTTAATATAACTTATGATGGTGTTGATATATGGGAAGGTTGATTAATATATAGGAAAATATATTCACCTTTTGTCCTCTCATATCTGAATCTATTGCCATTATCTGATAGGTTTTACTGATCCTGTTCTTATATTTACCTATATTGTCTTCCAATAATTTTATGACTTACTTTATTTGCATTAGTATCAGTACTCCATGTAGGACAAGGGAAACATACTGGGACAATAAAAAGGAATGGGAGGTTATGATACAAGCAAAAGGTGATTGAATCATATAATGCATGTTCTCTGTTGGACAAGAAAGGGTGTAAAAGGAGTCCTGAGCTAACTGAAGTAGCCATTACACGGGTCTAGACTTGATATTTTGAAAATATCAAATAACAGGTTGAGTAATTTGTTAGAAATTCCAAATCATTCACCTATCAAGAAGGGAAATCAAAACTCAGTGATGACCAAGAGAAGAGGGTAGGATAGAATGACATTTTAAATGTTCACAACCAATACAGAATATTAAAACAAATGGAATAATTTTTTAAAAATTATGTTAAAGGAAAATATTTATAAGCAGAATATTAGTTTTGTTTCATTTGTATATAACTAGAGGATAGTCAGATAACATGTGGTCTAGTTTCATACTGCTACATACTAGGATCTAATATAGAGGGTCTCAAAGCCAGAGGTAGTTAGTGCTGAAAAGAACATTTGATTAAATTTCTTGAATGAAACAATGGGGCTACAATTCATCATCCACTGCCATGCGTAACATAATCTCTTTCTTTCATGTACTCTCACTTGACATTTTTCACAGATATTATGAATGCATG